TCTCATCATCATCATCATCATCATCATCATCATCATCATCATCATCATCATCATCATCATCATCATCATCATCATCATCATCATCATCATCATCATCATCATCATCACCATCATCATCAGCATCATCAGCAGCAGCATCCGCAGCAGCATCAGCATCAGCATCAGCATCAGCAGCATCAGCATCATCATCAGTATCATTATCATCATCCTCATCATCATCATCATCATCATCATCATCATCATCATCATCATCATCATCATCATCATCATCATCATCATCATCATCATCATCATCATCATCATCATCAATAATCATCATCATCATCATCATCATCATCATCATCATCATCATCATCATCATCATCATCATCATCCCCCTTCTCCTGCTCCTCCTCCTCCTCCTCCTCCTCCTCCTCCTCCTCCTCCTCCTCTTTTTCCGCCACCTCTTCCTCCTCCTCCTCGTCCTCCTCCTCCTCCTCCACCTCCTCATCCCCCTTTTCCTCCCCCTCCTCCTCCTCTTCCTCTTCCTCCTCCTCCTCCTCTTCCTCCTCCTCGTCCTCAGCCATTGCCCGACTCGAGTTTTTCCAGGTGCCAGGAGATTTCTCGTGTCGCAGGGAGCGGCAAACTTGGCAGTGGCACTGCCGCCCCGAGCAACCTGATGCCCCCGAAGTCTGGCGATGTGGACCTGTGCAGCGTGCCACACAGATGATTGTTGGGGAACGACGAAAGTATGCTACTGGTGTAAGAAGCCTCGGCAGGAGTCCAAGAGCGACGGGCAGGGCGACAGACCGAAGGACACGCACCAGGACGCCGATGGCGACGCCTCGAATGAGACCATGTCAGGGTTTGCGAAGAAGCTGAAGATCTACAGGGCCCGCCTGAAAGATCTGGAACAGCTCGCGCAGGAACCTGGCATGGGGTTCGCATCGGAGGCCACGACGAAGCTGCATGAACAGATCGTTGGGCGGCTGGCACATAAGGAAGCAACACTACCAGCATGCGACGCGGACGTGGCAGTGCGCCGCCGTCTCCGTGGAGCAGAGAAAGCGCAGACAAAGGCAGACGCCCAAGTGGCGAAGCTCAAGCGGCAGCTTGAGGACATCCAGACTCAGCTGCACGCTGCACAGAACAAGGCCGAGCAGGCGGGGAAGAAGGTCGAGTCCCTCCGCGGCAAGGAGAAGTCGCTGGCCAGGCGCCCCATGTCCAAGGGCTGGGACTCGGTCTGCGTGCACCTGGAGCTCGCCAAGACGGCCCTGGGGTCGGACGGCGAGGAGCAGGATGCGGAGGTCACCAAGCAGGTGGAAGCGGCCCTCGCGCTCGTGGCAAAGAAAAAGGCGAACGCCGCAGAGAAGACGGCGGTGGCGATGGACGAAGACGGGGCAAGCCTCAGCGGCGACGGCTCACGTTACAAGAGGCGCGCCTGTGCAGGCCCCGAGGAGCAGGGCGAGGACGCCCTCCAGCTCAAGGCCAAGGCAAGCCCCAGGAGATCGGGACAGCCCTCAAGCAGGCCGGTGCCAAGGATGATGAAGTCCAGAAGCACGGGCCGATGTTGCATACTAGTCTTGCTGATATGGCTGATGGGTTCCAGCCCGCGAGGCGAAGTCGAGCCTGTCGCGACCCTAGCGACACATCCGAGCAGTGTGCAAGTACCAGGTCAGACAAACAGGTGTTCATCACGTGCAATGCGAACACCCCCAACAAGTTCGAGAAGGTGCTGCACCAGCTGCGCTACCAGGTCGAGGCGCCAGTCGTCTTCGATAAGGAGCACCAGCTGGCGCCCAAGCAAGTGAAGTTGCTGTCGGCCAGGCTCAGCTATGGCTGGAAGGCAGTAGTGGTGCCCAGCGCACCGACCAAGGAGGGCATGCCACAGGCCTTCCAGCTCATACAGAAGGTGCCCTTGGCATTGGTTGTGCCAACAGGGTACCCCGCCCCTCCAGTGCAGAGGCCGCGCCCTCTCAGTCGGGAGTACATCGACCACGAAGCTCTGAACGCGTTCTGGCACGATCGCATGTACGTTTTCGAGATGCACTGGACTGTACATCAATGCTTTGACGGCGATGGACTGCCAGCCCACAGTGGGCACGGCGTCAAGGCTGTCTACAAGATGCGAGAGCTTGTGCCCCCAGCGGTCAGGGACAAGAGAGCCCCGACGGCGCGAGCCAGGATGAAGAGAGTGGCGCTGTATGGGTGTTACACCGAGGGCAACTTCTGGGAGCGAGGGATCGTGGCAGGATCCGCGTTCAGCCCGCTGTGCCTGTCCCTCGGCCTCATCGGCACCATCGACGACCTCTACGTCGCGAACCCGAGGGCAGACATGTGCCCATACTTCGACGACCTCGAGGAGTCGACCCGAGGCGACGTGGCCGCCATGGCGGCGCCCCACATGAAGCTGACCGTCGAGATCGTCCTCGCTTTCGAGCAGGTGCTCAAGCGGCAGCTATCGAGAGGCAGGGACAGCATGACCGCTGTCGCGGTCTCGCATGGCAGAGTCGAGTGGCAGTTGGGCAGCCACAGCAAGCAGATGGGCATTCTGGTGGTGCGAGAAGCCGTGCATTTGGGTGTGGCCCAGCCAGCTGAGCGGCAACGTCGTGTCGGAGCCCAGTCCAAGAGGATCATGAATGCCAAGGCCAGGAGCTGGAACACCCAGTGGGTCAAGGCCGCAGGAGGCGCAGCGGAGAAGATGGTCAAGCTCGGGAGCATGCCGTCGGAGTTCTACGGCACACGCGGGCAGGACGACATGGACACGCTGATCGCCACGTGCAGACAGACGGTGGTGGCGGCCGCCCCTGGCTGCTACAAGGGAAGGTCGACCGCGCCGCTGCTGCTGGCGGAGGACGCGGACCCTGCCGTGAGCGCCAACGCGGGGCCCATCGTGGAGTGGGCCAGGGCGGGGCAGGATGAGACGGGCATGGACACGCGCGGCCTATTGGTGACGAGCTGGCGCTCGTGGGTAATGCGACTCCACGGGCATCCGAGACCGTCGGGCCTAGTGAGAGGGCCTGCAGGCGTGTTCATTATAACTGTAATTCGCCTTGTTTGCAGCACGCTGAGTCCAGCTACAGTCACATGCGGGGCCGAGGTGCACGTTTTGGCACTGGTTGTTATGAATGCTGCATGTACTGACTTGCACCGCACGTATGCATGCAGAGCGCGTCATGTGATGCGCAGGCGTATAGGTGGCAGGCACGTGCAGCAGAAAGGAGCAAACCCGTTCCCAAGTTTCGAAACCCTCTGGGCCAGGGGAATCTCCGAGGACCCTATAGAACTCCTGGATGTTCTGCCAGTCTCGGTCGAGGTCCAACATGAGGGCGAACAGCCAGGAGTCATCACAGGAGAGGTCTTTACAGATGGATCACTCTTGTACGGTGAGCTTGTTCCCCTTAGGCGTGCGGGGTGGAGCTTCGCCACCCTAGATGCCTCAGGGGAGAGCAGAGGTTTTTCAGCTTTCAGACCCCTTCCCCTGCCCCAGAACCGGCAAGGGATATACCCGTCAGAGCTGTACGCTATCCTTCAGGTGCTGAGGGGCGCGAGGCCGCCCCACAAAATCTATTGCGACTGCCAGGCTGCAGTAGACGGAACTCCCAAAGGGGAGGAGTGGTGCTCGCCCCCTGCCAGGACACACAGCGATCTCGGGCGAGAGTTTTGTTTTCTGGTCATCGGTCTAGGAGGGCTGGGCCCCAGGACCGTCCAGATAATAAAGCGTAAGGCCCAAGCCGCTCGAGCCCAGCGGCAAGAGTTTGGCGAGGGACTAGTCAAAGGCAACCGCTTCGCGGACGAATACGTGATGGAGGGGGCTAATTTGTGCGCACACCCGTTCTGGCAGCGTCAGGCGCCTCAGCAGAAGCTTACCATGGTAGCAGAGCTGGAGTTTGCTGTCAGGCTCGGCGCTATGTCGTCCGAGGTCGTCGTTGCGATTTACGATGTCGAAGCGAGCAGCATCAGTGGACCTGTCCCGAGTCAGGCCGCCGAGTCAAATCCTGCTCCTCCTCTGGTGCCTCCCCCCTCCCCGTCTGTGGGCCCCAGGGACCGTCATTTTCCCAGGGCCATAAGCCAGATTCAGAGCGGGCCGTCGGGCGCAGAAGCTATCGAATTCGAAGCCCGACAAGCACGCATCCTTAAGGCACAGGGGCAACGACACCACCCCGTGTTGTGCCCCGATTTTGTCTTCTACAGGCGATGCGCTTCCTACGCTCAGTGTAAGTGGACGAACCTTGTGAAGGAGGGCTATAGGCCCTCCCGAGCTCGGACGGCCAAGGGTCGACTGACGCGTTTGTGGGAGGGCCGCCATCCATCCATAGGGAAGCCCTTGTAAGTCTAAACTTGCACGGCGAAGGCGGCTTGCGTGGTGCTCTCCATCTGCGTAAGTCCTAAGTAGCACAATCCTAGCACACTCCTCCACGTCCTCCTCCTTCTCCTCCGCCTCCTCCTCCTCATCATCCTCCACCTGCTCCTTCTCCTCCTCCTCCTCCTCATCCTCATCCTCTTCCTCCTCCTCCTCCTCCTCCTCATCCTCCACCTGCTCCTTCTCCTCCTCCTCCTCCTCCTCCTCCTCCTCATCATCATCATCATCATCATCATCATCATCATCATCATCATCATCATCATCATCATCATCATCATCATCATCATCATCATCATCATCATCATCATCATCATCATCATCATCATCATCATCACATCATCATCATCATCATCATCATCATCATCATCATCATCATCATCATCAGCCAGCAGCCAGCATCATCATCATCAGAATCATAATCATCACCAGTATCATCATCATCATCATCATAATCAGCATCATCATCATCATCATCATCATCATCATCATCATCACAGCATCATCAGCATCATCATCATCATCACCATCATCATCCTCATCATCATTATCATCATCGTCATCATCATCAGCATCATCATCATCAGCATCATCATCATCATCAGCATCAGCATCAACCATCAACATCAGCATCAGCATCATCATCATCATCATCATCATCATCATCATCATCATCATCATCATCATCATCATCATCATCATCATCATCATCATCATCATCATCATCATCATCATCATCATCATCATCATCATCATCATCATCATCTTCCCCCCTCCTCATCCACCACCACCACCACCACCTCCTCCTCCTCCTCCTCCTCCTCCTCCTCCTCCTCCTCCTCCTCCTCCTCCTCCTCCCTTGCTCCCTCCCTTGCTCCCTCCCTCCCTCCCTCCCTCCCTCCCTCCGCCTCCTCCTCCTCCCTCCTCCTCTTCCTCCTCTTCCGCCTCCTCCTCCGCCTCCTCTTTCTCCTCCTCCCCTCCTCGTCCTCCTCGCCTCCGCCTTCCCCTCCTCCTCCTCCTCCTCCTCACCTCCTCACCTCTCCCCTCCTCCTCTTCCTCCTCCTTCCCTCCTCCTCCGCCTCCTCTTCCTCCCTCCTCCTCCTCCTCCTTCCGTCCCTCCTCCTCTCCTCCTCCTCCTCCTCCTCCTCCTCCTACCTCCTCCGTCTCCTCCCTCCTCCACTCCTCCTCTTCCTCCTCCTCCTCCTCCTCCTCTTCTCCTCCCTCCTCCTCCTCCTCTTCCTCCTCCTTCCTCCACCACCTCCTCCTCCTCCTCTTCCTCCTCCTCCTCCTCCTCCTCCTCCTCCTCCTCCTCCTCCTCCTCCTGCCGTCCGTCCGTCCGTCCGTCCGTCTACCCTGTCCCCCCCGTTCCTGATCCCTCCGCGCGCCCCTCTTCCGTCCACCCATCCTGAAATACCTTCGCCAGAATGGGCGCCCTCGGGGGCGGGCGCCAACCAGGTCTGGTCGGCCAGCATGTGGGTCGATTCCAAAATCGGCACGCGGCATGGTCCTCTGCCCGTGCCCCTCCCGCCTGTCTCCCTCCTCGCTCACCCGTTCCACCCCCCATTCCATGTTCCCTCCCACTCGTTTCCCTTCCCTCTCCCTTACACCACCACCACCACCACCACCACCCACTCCCTCCCCCCATCGTTGCTCCCCCGCCGGTTTCCATCCATCCGTCCTCTCTTTCCTGGTCCATCCTTTCTCGCCCGCGCCTTCCCTCCGCCCCCTGCCCATCTTCCATTCCTCCTCCTCCCCCATCCTGCCGCCCACTCTTTTGCTGCAGCCTCCTCGTCGCTTCCTTGAATTACCTTCTCCCCGTCCCATTCTTCTCTCTAACGCAGCGTGGAGCCCCTTGTTAGCCTGCAGAACACTGGCAGGTCTGCCGCAGGCAGAAGAGATGAAATTAAGGGGTGAAAAAAACACCCCTATCCTTCGTTACAAGTGCGCGGTCTGTAAACTTCCTGGGGACCCCCAGAGGCCAGCGAGCCGCCAGGACGCCGCGCGACACGCGCGATACGCAGGGCTTGTCCACAGGAGGCTCAGCGCACACCGCCTCGTAAACCAGGGTAGGGGCGTTTTTTACGCTCTTGATGAAGCGGTTCCATTTTGCACGAGCGCGGCAACACACACAGACTGAGCCGCACCGCGGCCGGATTCTACAGCCTGCGGCAAGGCCCTCGGAGGCGGGCTGGGCGGCAGGGTGGCGGCTGCGCGGGGGCAGCGGCGCCAGGCCAACGGCGCTGGTATCAACAGGCAATGGAGACGTCCATGCTCTCTCTCTCTCTCTCTCTCTCTCTCTCTCTTTCTATATATTTATTTATCTGTCTCTCTCTCTCTCTCTCTCTCACGGGCAAACACACACAAACACAGATACTGACGCCACACACACACACACACACAAACACACACACACACACGCACGCACGCGCCACACACACACACACACACACACACACACACACACACACACACACACACACACGCACACACGCACGCACGCACGCACGCACGCACGCACGCACGCACGCGCACACCACACACACACACACACACCACACACACAAACACACCACACACACACACACACACACACACGCACGCACGCACGCACGCACGCACACGCACGCACGCACGCGCGCGCGCGCGCGCACGCGCACACACACACAACACACACACACACACACACACACACACCACACACACCACACACACACACGCGCGCGCGCGCGCGCGCGCGCGTACACACGCGCACACGCACACGCACACGCACACGCACACGCTCACGCACACGCACACGCACACGCACACGCACACGCACACGCAACCGCACACGCACACGAACACGAACACGCACACGCGCACTTTCTTGTCCAGCGGCCGGGTGACGTCACCGCAGCGAGGGGCGAAGGCGGTCCACGCTCAGCCCCAGTTCCACCCGACGTTGCAGGTGGGTGGACAAATCAGGGCGAGTCGCTCGCAGAAAAACAATCGGTGGCGGCTGCACTGGGCGAGCCAGGTGGGAAACACTCACACCTACAAACGCTCACACTGTTTCCCCTCGTCAAGCCTGCGCTCCGCGAGGCGGGCGCGCGGCGGCGTGGGCCGCGGCGTGGGCCGCGGCGCGAGGCGGAGGGGCCACGGCGTGAGACGCGAGAGGGACCGCAGCGCGAGTGTGGGCGAGGAGGGCGAGAAGAGGACGACTCGACGGTCAGGCGCGTCGGTCGAGCAGAGCACGGCTGTGGCCGCGCGGGGGCCGCGGAGGAAAGGCAAAGGAGGGCGGCACCCTCAGACCATGCAGGTCTTGCACTGGCGTGCTGCGGCCCAGGCTCGGGCGGACGGCCGCAGACACAAACACGCACAGTCATGCAAACGTGCGCGCACACGCCGCCGCCGTTGTCGTCGTCGCCACCGTCGTCGTCGCCACCGTCGTCATCGTCGTCTTAGCCGTCGTCGTCGTCGCCGTCGTCGTCGTCGTCGTCGTAGCCGCCGTCGTCGTCGTCGTCGTCGTCGCCGTCGTCGTCGTCGTCGTCGTCGTCGTCGCCGCCGTCGTCGTCCTTGTCGCCAACGTCACAGCACGCGCCAGAGGGCGCGCGGCAGGGAGGTCGGGAGCACACCTTCGAGCCGGCACGGGTGTCCGAAGGTGCTCACAGGTGCTCGGAACACGCCGAGATGTCCTGCCCGATGGGCCAGCAGGCACCCTGCCGGGAGGGCGATGGGCACCTGCGGGGAGTGCATCGGAGGGGATCGACGGATACACCACGTCAGGAGGTCGGCCAACTTGCGCGGATAAGCGTTCCAGCTTCCCAAACCTGTGGGGCGCTGGGGCGTCTGTACGCCGAATTCCTTCGCCGAATTCCATGGACGTCGAACAGAGTGGTGTTTACATCGAGCTCTTCCGAAAGCACACGGCGGAAGCGCTTGCCAGAGCACCGAGGGGGGGGACTTCCAGACCTCCTCCTCGTCCTCCTCCTCCTCCTCTTCCTCTTTCCTCTTCCTTCTGCTCTTCCTCCTCCTCCTCCTCCTCCTCCTCCTCGTCCTCATATTCCTCCTCCTCCTCCTCCTCCGCCTCCTCGCCCTCCTCCTCGCCCTCCTCCTCCTCCTCCCCCTGCTCCTCCTCCTCCTCCTCCTCCTCCTCCTCCTCCTCCTCCTCCTCTTCCTCCTTCACTCGTCCTCCTTCCTGGACGACATACATGACGCTCCCTCTGGGGCCAATGGGCGTCTCCTGGGAGGGTGGTTTCTCGTTTGTGGAACTGGCGACGCTCAATCCCGAACTCTCCAGCGTGCGGAACGCGCTGCTCCCAAGAAGCTCGACCGCTCAAGACCACTGCAATAGCAGGCGCGAGTCGAGTCCACGGCCCCCGACAGAGCAAAGTTCGCAACTAATGGAACAGTTGGGAGATCTGGAAATCCACCTCGAATCTGCTCGGGCTTGTGGGCCATGCTGGTTTGGGGCGATCGCGGCCCTCTCGCCACCATAGAACGAGCTCGTCTCCAAGAGGAAGCATGCAAGTCTACTGGGGGGCCTGGATAATCAAATCAGAACGCACAAGGTCGAGAAGATCTGGGAAGCATGGCAGTATCAGAACATGGACGCTCATGGTGATGCGCCAATGTCAACTAAGACAACACATGGATTAAAGACACTGGGAAGCAGAAGCGGGCAATCACTGAGGCTGCGGCCAGGCCTACTCAGCCAGCTTCAAGAACCTTACATCGTCACAAGAGGAGAGGGGAAGCATGAGGAGGAGGAGGAGGAGGAGGAGGAGGAGGAAAAAGAGGAGGATCAAGAAAGGAAAAGAAGGAGGATCGAGGTTCAGATCGAGGCCACATCCCCGCTCTACCTAACACACTCTGGGAGGCGGAGGACACGGGCGCGAAGAGATGCCCGAGGGGAAAACGGCGAAGTCGACGATGACGACGACGGCTGCAGCAACACTGGCGCGGGCGACGACGACAACGGCACCCCGACTGATCCACTTCTAGCACGGGGCTCTCAGCAAGATGCCCGCCAGAGCGGCTGCGCCAGCTTTCTCCTTAAGGCGCGCAAGGCGCGAAGGGGGGAGGCAGGAAGGAGGGGCTGAAGCAGAACCAGAAGGGGGGGCGAGGAGGAGGAGGAAGAGGAGGAGAAGGAGGAGGAGGAGGAGGTGGAGGAGGAGGTGGAAGAGGAGGAGGAGGAGAGGGGCTGATCGCTAGCCTCGGCGTCACCCTATGAATACATGTTGTTCCCGCGGGCCCCGCGCGGACGTCCGTCTGGTGCGCCCCTGTTTCCCTGAGCCGAAACGCTCATGGAAAAGAGGCTGCACGTTCAACACAGCTTCCAATCTCTTAGACGAAAGAGGCACCTGAACGGGCAGCCTTCTCGCCTCCGCTAACTGCTCACACCCAACTCGCGACAGCTGCCTCATTCCTCTCTCCTTGCCCCACGCGGGAGCGCCCTTTTCAGACTTGACTCCACCCATCTCCTCGCCTTCCTCACGAAACGACTCACAACACTCGTCCCGGTAGTGCTCGACACCCGTGGCCCAGAACTGTTCGATCATCACCCGCGCGAGCTTCTGACGCCAGGTCGGGCAATTCGCCAGGTCCTCGGCGCATCTCACAATGGTCCTGATAGCCTCGTGGCACTTGGGTTCCGACGGCACCGCCTGTCACACCCTGCACTCCCCAACGCCCGACACGGAACCAACCTCCGACCCCTCCTGCTTCAAAGCTGCCCACCGGCTGCTCGGGGAGCATATCGAACAACTCCTCCGCAACTGGCGTGATTGCCGAGAGACCAGACCGTCCGTGTAGCACCAAGTGAGAGTAGGCCGCCTCGATCAGGGACGAATTGTCCATGGCGACATCGGCGCTCACCGCTGGCCCCTGCACCTGGATGTTACCCGTGCTCAAATAGTACGCGACTATCACAAACCTGATTTCCGTGGGTCCGGCCAGCATGTGGCATCTCATCTTGGCCCCGACAAAGGTCCGCTGCATGACCACCGCCCCGAATTCTGCCAGCGTCTCGACCGGGCACCTCACCGACGCCTCGGTCCCTTGCGCTGCAAACTTCATCACGCTGGCGTGCTGTGGGCGACGGCACACCGTCGTCGCTGTCCTTCTCCTTCTCCGACTGCGATATTTTAATATAAAAAAAAGCCTTGAGGGACTCCCGGGAGCCAAAGGGGGCCGAGGGCCACGGTCTGCGCGGACGAAGGTGCACCACGTTCCCGCGGCACGCCGCAAGTGCAGCAGCCGGCCGCAGAGTCAGTCCTGCAAACAGGACAGAAACGAGCAGTGCCAGCGTCGCTCATACAGGCCCGAGCCATACAGGCCCAGGACAAATAAGCCCCCACGCACTGGCAACCGCAGGACACCTCCACGTGAACACACTGGGGGCGCCAAAGGTGACAAGTCAGCCTGGGACGAGGCATCCAGGACCAGTTCTACATTCTTCCCATGCAGCAGCGACAGCTTTGCGCCGACGCGAGAGGAGGCGCAGTCGTGCCTCGAAGGCCTGCTCGGGAGTCCCTGGGAGACCACGGCGAGCAGCGGTGTGAGAGTATACAAACGCACTGCACAGGCACGCACACAGCAGCGACACACTCGGAGGAAGAGGGCATAGCAGGATCGGAAAAGCAATCCAAGGTATGCCCACAGGAGCAATATGAAATAGAAAACCATCCATCTGACACAAATCTAGCGAAAACGATGGCAGAAATCGCAATAACGAAGGTCGTCGTAGTCTCTGGACATGTCAAACCCATGTTCTCTGTGAGTACACCCGAAGATACAACCCCTGGGAAGCGAATGGTAGCGGGAGCTGGTACATACCCCACGGGTACAGATACGGAGGACACCCATGACGAGGTAGGCAGAGGACGCCGCTGCAATGCGACGGTTCTGGAGGATGAGATGGGAGAGGTCGCTGCTGTCACACTCTGGCAACCAACCACGGAGGCGATACTGAAGCCCTTCAAACGGCGAGGGCCCCGAAAGAGGACGAGCATGGAGACGCAGGTAGAGCTTGCGCTGGAACGCGGCGGGCTGCAATTCAGATAATCGAACAATACCATGAACAAGCTGAGCGGATTGAAACATATCAGGCAGGAAGGAGCGTTGATACCAGCTCTCAGGATCGACAACACGAGAGTAGCACACTGCGTCACTATCAACCACTCGCTTGAGATCCGCCCAAGCGTCGGCAATTCCAGGGCAGATACACGCAAGACGGACACGACAAGCGGTGGAGAGGGCAGCAATCTCAGGGGACTCGATCGGGAAGCCGAGCTGCTTCATGGACACAAGCATGTTGTAAGATAGTGCATTGTATGGGCCACATGTAAGACGTTGTAACATGTGCTTGTACACTTTTTTCACTGCATTTGTCAGGGGCTCAGCCTGCATCACAAACTGCAAGACAGACAAGCACATGACTTGGAACGTAGCAACAGTAAGAGCACATCCAGGGGAGAGCTGACGAAGAGTAGCGCAACGGGCGACATATTTGGCCAGTGGCGCTTTCCAAGCGAGGCCGGCTTCTTCAGGGCCAATATGAAGGCCAAGGTACTTCATAGTATAGCAGCTTCTTACTTGTTCAAGACCTCCCCCCCAGTCGATAAGCCCATTCTGGACCTCCTCCTTTCCTCTCCGCCCACAGAGCACGAGAGAGCACATGTTGCAATTGAGCGCTAGCCCGATGGCACCATCGAGCACCTGCAGGTGCCTCCAGATCACTAAATACATCCACCTTGCCAAATGAACAGTCATCAGCAGATGCCAGACAAAGGGTAACCTGGGCTGGCAGCGTGTTCTGCATCCACCTAATCACCGGGTCCAAGCATAAACAGAAAAGAGCCATAGAGCTAGCGTCTCCTGGACGAACCCCACGAGTGATTTGAAACCGCCCGAACCTTTGGCCCCCCAAGGTAACCACCACCACGTCGCTGGCGCATAGCATCTGATGGAATCCCAGGATGAACGAAGGCATGCGCATAGCGGAAGGGACAGCGAAGAGCCAGCCATGGAGGAGAGAGGGGAAAGCAGCAGCAAAGCCGGTAGAAATAATGGCGGCATTATCATAACCAGGAAGATGTCGCTGGAGCCCCAAACTCTCTGCTTGCGCAAGATTCGCGAGCACCTGCCTACCTTTACACATTTCTGGAGTGGAGCAACCGACAACTGAGAGAGCACATTGAGCGGCCTGCTGAATGCACTAGATAAGATATGCGTATCTGTGTTGGACATAGAGAGCGGACGAGTGCTAGCACAGTCACGGATAACGTTCCCATCCCCATCTCCATCACTGCCCCCTTTCGGTAGAAATACCATCAGAAGTTCACCCATTTCACGAGGTAAAGAGCCCACGTTGCCTCTAACGATCTCTAGGTAGAAGTTGTAAGAATAGCGGGGCGCATTTCCAATGCGCCAGCAGCTACATATGGGATACCATCGGGCCCAGGCATAGCATTACGGCAACTTCGAATAAGGCAGATAAAATCAGAATAGTCAGTGTCCCACGGGATGCCCTCCCCGTCGTCAGAACTTCCAGGAGCTGCTTGAACGTGGGCCAGGATGTCAGCCCAACGCGATGAATCTGCAGGCACAGCCGAGAACGCGGCCCCCCAGTAGGATGCAAGCGCAGTAGCAGACTCCTGCATTGTGGTACATGGGAGGCCATGCTCCGATACCACGGAAGTCAGATAGGCACGTCGTTTAAAATTTTCTCCAGAGCTCTTGTTTACGGCGGAACTTCCCCAAGGCGGATGTTTTGACCTCCTCCGTCATATTTACGCCCCCCAGTACTTGCTCCTCCTCCCCATTCAGAATCCTGACAGACAACTCCTGAGTGTGGGAGCAGACGCCAGACAGATCTGTGCGCACCATCGAATCAACGCCAAAGAACTGCTGCAGAAATGGATAGCTGCCGAGGGCCTTGCACACAAGCCGATCCTGCCGAGCACGCAGGCCACAAAGAGGGATCATGCACCAGTGATGCTGCTCTGCGATCTCGGTTACAACTTGCTTGGCTAAAAGATGTCGAACCCGGGGGGGGGGGGGGGGGGAATCTCATGCATGCTCTCATTCACATGGCCGAGAGCAGCATCCGCACATAATGTATCAAGTTCGCTAGCGCTGGCGTCGAGCCCATGCTCAAGAACTTGCTGATATGTGTCATGCTTGCTCAGCCAACTCGGGATAATGCCATTCGCTCCGACAGGCGGGTGATATGCTTGAATATGCGCTAACACTGGGATGTGATCGGAGGTGCGAGCATGACAGAGCTTACCAATCACAGAGGCATGGACGGTTATATCGGCGATGACGGCAGCAGGCGAACAAGAGTAAATCCGATCGAGACGAGATGCGTGTGCAATATGACCATCACGAAGCTCCCGTTTCGTAGCACCAGCTTGAAATAGCCCAATCCAGGCACCACAATTACGATTAAAAACTTCATGAAATCTCATGTCGCCATTGGTCCAACCACCCCCGTCAGGAAACGTCATGCCCTCCTCCTCTAGCGTGAAGTTCCAGTCCCCAAGGATGAGAGAGAAGCACTGCTCTGCGGGCGGTAGGCGCTCAACTAGCTCATCTAGCGAATGAGCATACACTTGTAGCGGCTCGCACGTATTTGACACACGCACAGTCACGATAGCGAGTTGTCCTTTCTCTCCAGACAAAATACTGAGAAGCATCCTCCCTTCCTGAATAACATGGCGCGA